AAGTTTAATAAGTTTAACATATTTCAAAACTGGTGTAAAAGCAATAATAATAGAGTTGTAAAATCAAAAACCTCGCTAGCGGTTTGACGTTTGCCGTAAACGTCAATCTTAAGGTGTCTATTATCACTTGTACCCACCCAGCCACCTACCTCAGTAAGGTCGATCCTTTTTTAACCGCTAAAATGCTCAAAATTTGCGGTAGTTCATCTCTGTGAATATTAAACTGGTTTTTCCACTAGTACATGTATTTCGTATAAACAATTGCAATATTATTACAAGACTAGAAGTTACTATCGCAAGGAAAGTGCTGCCTCATCCCCAATGGATCAAAGCCAGCATGTGCAATTTGCTGAATACCCTGGTACCATGATCCTGCTTTGCCAGGACGAGATATATACGAGGCAGGGCGATTTCGATGTATTGAAATAAGTCATGGTCTACAACATTTCAGTTATGTTAAATGTGTTTATGCAATAAAAATAGTTAACTTCTAGCACGAGTTGTGATGTGGGTCGTTATAATATGTAATTATGCATTTATGCTGGGTTCAATTTCATTGACCAATCAGAAGCAGTCTGTTGTCAGCGGGTGGGTGTTTGCCATTTGCTGTGCTCACGGGCTGTGCTCACTTGCATACTGCTTCTCACACTGTGAACTCGATTTTGGTTTTCTATTTTTGTTTTTCTGGGGATTCTTGTGCTTCGTTTGGGTTTTGGCTTCTATCTTGGATGCCTCGGCTCACTAATAATAGTCAGTCCAGTTGTTCTGGAACGGATTTATCGCTTTCGCCAGTCCATAGCGATGTTATTTCGTCGGCTTCTACATCAATTGCATCCGCGGGTTTGGTTTCGTCATTGTCGGGTTTAACTTCGCCAACTTCGTCGCTTCTCCCTGTTGTGCTGCCTTCAGTGTTGTCGGCCTCCAGTGCTTTGCCATCGCCGGTGGTGACAAGTCTTGGGACGACTTCGTGGTCTGCTTCCGTGCCGTTTGCTTCACCAAGTTTAGCGTCTCGTACATGGCTTCCCGTCCCGTACCTGCCACAGAATCCTTGGCCTACGTCTAGTGTCGTTCCCACCATCGCAAGTCCGTCAATAAATCCGGGCGTTTTGTTGAATTTTACGTTTCCTTGTTCTTCGACATCGGCCAATTTTCAGCCGCCATTTTGTTCCCTCCCAGTCTCCTCCGGTGGCGCCCGTCCTGCTCCGTCCTTAAATCCCATCCTCCAGCAGGCGTCTACTTCCCAACATTCCATCCTCCAGCAAGCGTCCACTTCCCTGCATCCCATCCTCCAGCAGGCGTCCATTTCCCCGGATACCATCCTCCAGGAGGCGATTTCCCAATCTCAAGTCCAGGCACAGGCTGCCCTCCAGGCACAAGCTTTGCTGCAAGCTCATGCTCAGGCACATTCGAATGCTATCGCTCAAGTGCACGCCTGTGGTCAAGAGTTGGCATCTCCTTCAAGGCTTCCTGCTGGCCCGGTTTTGCCGTCTAGTGCATCGTTGTCGCTTCAACAGCTGCCAAATAATCCGCCAGCTGCAGGTTTGGCTGCACCAGGTATGTTTTTTGCCTTTGGCTCATACGCAACCTGCTGCTTTCGTTGTTGGCCCTGGGTTTCTCC